CCCCCTTCCGCGCGCCGTGGCCATGGCAACGGCTGGGCCTGCTTCCGATTGGCTCCTCGCTGGGGCGCAGGGCGCAGGCGCGCGCTGCTGTTTGGAGGACTCCTGCCCGGCGCCTTGCGGTGCGTGTTCCCACTGCTGGCGTTAGAGTCCCGGTTTACAGCCGGGACTGGGTTCGCAGCCTTTAATCCGATGCTGTGCAGATCCTCAAAGTCTAAAACCACGGTGTGCACGGCGCGGGAGGGAGGGGCCCCGGGGGGCTTGGCGGACCTTCGCGGTCAGGCAGGTGCGTTATCCGAGGGACTGGCGTGCTGGCCACGCCGCGTTTGAGGTCCTCGGTCTGCTGTATTACCAGGAGGGAGTCGCGCGAGACAGCCTCAAGGGTTTGGCGGCATTTCTGAGAGCAGGAGGAAACCAGAGTAATTTCGGTGTTTTCTCCCACCTCCTGCATCATTCTTGGGAGGTGGGGGTTGTGGAGTCAGGGAAGAGCCGCCGGCAACTTTTAAAGTAGTCACAAAAACAGCCTCCCAGATAAACAGGCTGACAACTGCCACTGGGCAGGAGGGATAGCCCAACCTTGCTTTTCTGGAAAACATTCAGTAAAATTGATCCTTTACTATTGGCAAAAAGCGTCTGCACCTACATAGGAAGAATAGTCCTTGTCTTCAGTGTGGGAGAACGTTCGCTCTTAACCCCAGGGGGAATACCCTCTTTGAAGTAAGGCTGCAACAAAATGAGCTTGCTTAGCCAGGGGCTGAAACCCTGTAGTAGTCTCAGGGTGCCGAATTGCGAAACTTCAGAGGGAAAATGCCTTTGGAATACAAGCTATTTTACAGTGTGACTATCAGCGTTAGATGAAGGCAGAAAAGCTCTGCTGACCATGAGTAACCATCGAAATAAAATACAGAGGGGTGACATTATATCCTGATAAACCCATCGTAAGTCCAAAATATGGCTCATGAGTAAAAGATGCATTTAATAGCTCCATAAGCCCAGTGTACAGAAAAAAAAAATCATACATCAAACTCTTAAGTTCCACTGCTCCTGGACTTAACAGTGAGGTTATGTCCCAGTAAACCTGTTGTAAAGTCAAAAAATCACAGGTCTAACCATCCTAAGTTAGGGACTATCTGTAGTTCCAATGTTGAGTTTTTTTCATCAGTTTATGGAATAACGGTTAGGCTGATGCTTGAAACCAGAGCTAAGGATGCCCGGTGAAGGCAGGGACTGCATTGTCCCACAGTCAGGTCCCGAGAACAGGTGACACTATGAGAAGATAATGATTATGAGTTTACAGCAGTACTCTGGCAAAATAGTATTCTCTCGTGCCCTCTGGTCTACCAGTTGTATAATGTGAGACTGTGGCGAGCCCAAGGGAAGGACTGGCCACCTTCTAATTACACTTATCTGCAGAACACTAGTGGGTTTTGTTAAATTCCAGAGCTGTAGCAAGTATCTAATTCATGGAGGTAATCGCAGTGCTTGTTTCAAAAGCCAAGGAGCTGAGAGAGTGGCTGTGGTAGATAATAAGAGTCCGCGGCCTCCTGCCTGTTGCTGGTGGGTCTGCTGAGAACCACCCGGTAGGTGTGCTGCTGGCGTGTCCTAGGGAGCAGGCCTGCTTTGGGGTTGAGCACACAGGTGGTGTCTAGATGCCCAGAGATAGCAGTCCCCGGGCGTGTGCTGGGATGCACTTACCAGTGAGCTAGTCAGTTACTGAACAGTTCAGCTTAAGGTTAGCAACACTGCAGCCATTTTGAAATGAAGAAAAGCCTCTAACAGAACAATCCAACCGAGTGCTGAGTCATGGGAAGGTCATCTGAGGAATGGTCAGTTGAAAAACGGGGACTAGGTATTCAAAGAAAGGCATCAGGGTAATTGCTCAAAGAAAGCAACTGACTTTGCTAGGCGATAGTGAGGAGTGATTTGTGCAGGTTTTTACCTTGGGCCTGTAGATGTGAGGTTTAATCTTTTTTTCCTAATTGCTGTGCTAAGTTTGGTAGTAATTCCATAACCTGTTGTGCAACAGGTTTTTGTAAAGCAACACCCTCTCCGCCACCACCAAATTCTTTCTTCTGTCCTTTCAGGGGAAAACAAAAACAAGCATGTGGTGTAAAACTCACTTCTCCGAAGAAGAGTGGGTGGAAAGGTCGGCCTTACTCTAGGTCTTGCACGTCTTTGTCAAGGACAGCACATTACCACTTGTTTGGGACGGGTGTGTCAGCATACGGGCAACTTCGGAGCTTTCATTAAGTCGTGTGGATTTCTGGAACTTGTTACTCTTAGCCTTTAGAAACAAGTTGTAGGTCTGATAGAGTCAGCTAATCACATTTCAAGGCAAAATGAAATGTTCACTTGTAGTTTTTAGTTGCTTGGGCTGAGTAGATACCGGATCACCTTCCCCAAGGGCTTTCTCGGAGTAAGGCACTTCAGCCTAAGGAGCTGCCTCACACCGCATCCGTCAAGGATGGAATCATTTAAAAGTTGCGTTTAATTTGTATTGTGCACACGTGTTGCTGTGCCTAGAACTTTCCAAAACTCAAGCAACCTGAACGGGGGCTTTTGTAAATGCAGAGTACCTGACAGTGGCTTTGAACGCTATGATCCTTCCTTTAATTTTGTAATTTTTTGAAGATTGCGAAACCATGTCTGACTCACTTTCGTTGGAACACTGCCATGATAAATAGCTTGGACCTTGACTTGATGAAAGTCTTTTCCTTAACATGGACCTTTCATGAGGAAGGCACTGGGAGCTGTTTAGGAAATGATGTCATAGAATTGATCTCCAAGAATATTACAAAGCTACTATGAAATGACTTTAACCAAGGGGAAGTGGAAGGGGTAGGTATCCACACAGTTTACACTCCGCTGTGCTCATTTTATTTCTTAGAGATAGAGAAGGCGAATTCGGAGTCAGGCGTAGCCCAGTGTCGAGGTGGTGGGTCTCCACTGCTGTCTGTCCCCACGTCCCCTGTTGCTTGCTGCCGTGGTGCCAAGCTGCTGCTGGCACTTCAGACTCAGCCAGCTGTGACCTCCCGGGTTCGGCAGGTGCTTCGTTCCAGCACGGGCACTCTGGGGCAGCTCTTTAAGAGCTCTTTAGACTTCTCCGTGTAAAGCGGCTCCCTCCCTTTGTTTCTGTGTCCTGGCTGCTGTGTGGCATGCCTGCTGCCTTTTCTATCCTATCCTCCCCAATGCTTACTGAAAACTCCTTTTTTTTAATTGCCAGAGGTCATATGTACTCGTGAGAGAGTGAGAGCGAGCTAACCCCCAGTGGGACATGGTTATGCTGCAGGCTCTTCTCCATCTCTGCCTTCTGTCTGGGATCGGGGCACACGTGCCCCTGTGCCAAGTGTACTTCTCACACTATCAGGTCAACAGTTTTTATTGCGGTCAGCCATGTAGGGTCCGGCTCTGCTGACCACTAGGCTATGCCGTGGCCCAAACTCTTACTTCGATAACATTGACTACGCTGCTGACTTCGTTTACTTTGAATTCATCTTCCTCACCGAAGTAGCTTGCCTACAAATTGTGCAACAGATTGTCTTATTTGTAGTGTGCTCTCTCTGGGCTTTGTCTTGATTTGTTACTATTTTCGTTAAAGTGTCATGGGTTTTCAATAAAATGTTGTTTTTATTTACTATTTCCTTTTGTGTAACACAGGAAACACAGAGTGACTGAAGCACACCTTCAATTGGCCTTCTGGTCACATGGGAAGACTCTGTTTCCTGGCTCTTTTGCATTGGCCAGAGGCCCTCGCAGAACTGGGAGGAGCTGCCAGGCCCGCTGCACACCGGGCATGGTGCAGGTAGAAGCAGAGGATGCTGCTCGCTGCATGGCTGGCGCCAGGAGCTGGGCCCTGCGGGTCGTCCTGGGGGCAGAGCGCAGGAGAGCTTCCGGCCCAAGGGGTCCCTCAGCGGACCTGGAACGCATAGAAATATCTGGGAAGGTCGGGACTTATAAAACCAGGCGTGGATTTCAATCTTTTTTTTTTTCATGAAGATAATCTTATACTTTAGTTCCATTTTCCATGAGCAATCTACTCATATTTGGGTGCAAGAAATTTGAAACCCATGCATTTTTTTTTCACAATAAGCATTTTCTATGAACCTCTGAAGCCCCCTCTTATCTCCGCTGTCACAGCATTGAGCTTTGCAGGGTACCGATCACCTGTCCTAACACATGCGTGTAGCAAAATAGTGTCGCAAATCTGACACGTGATTCACGCCCTCTTTTAATGCTTTGAATAAATTATTTGGTTGCGTCTCCTGTTAGTGTTTGCTGACAAATGAATGGTTCGTCTGTTGCTGACACATGCATTTCAATGTATCGTTTCAACAGTTGTCGCACAGAACCGGAGCGGCTGATGGGGGAACTCGCAGGGCCCACGCCTGAGGACCTGGTGGGAGTGGCTGTGGGGCAGATGCTCCTGCAAATTCTGGAGCCCAAGAGCCAGCAGCCTCACACCCTGGTGCCCAGGGCA